CGGCAGCCCGGGGAGCCGCGGAGCGGCTTTTCTCGCTGCGGAGGATACGGGCGGCGAGACCGCCGCAGTGCGTCTCGGTGGTCTGCTGGGGAGAGGGGGCACAGCTAGTGCGGGGTGTCACCCCGTTTGTAAGTAGGGATCCGACATAAGTCGGATCCACGTAACCCGGGGACTGCCTGAATATAGGATTTTGCGCAAAAGGATTTTTTTTTGCACAAAAAGGCCCCATCTACACTGCTTGGTTTTGCGCAAAAATCTCTTCTGCAAAAAGCATCGGCAGAGAATATGCAAATGAGAGCGCGACAAATGCTAATGAGCACTTCGTTTGCATTGTCTCTGCCAACAAAAGGCTGCAGTGCAGACATAGCCTAAGACCAGGCTGTGTGAGGGAGCTTCATGCAGCTGCATCATCCCGCGCACATCACTAGCAGCTCTTACCTGTGGCCCTGGTGACCCTTGGTCTCCATCTGGTCCTTGTTTTCCTGGAGGGCCCTGAAAAACATTTGTGGAGGGGTGTCATTAACCACATCACCTTATCAAGCCATTTCAGCTGTGTACAAATATTCTGCGCATTCCCTCCTGCACGCACTGTCTTGGATGGACTCCGAGACCCGCTCCAGAGCATGTGATCTGCCACCCTTGCTTCATCTGGAACCACAAGACCAAAATCCTACTTTACAAAGCGACTGCTCTGTGGCTCCCTGCCAGCTTTGTTACTGGCTGCTCCAGCAGCAGGTCCCATGCTTTTTACTCTCAAGGCGCTGGAATGTCTCAGCTAGATGGGCAGCGCCTTTGGGTTTTCACTAGGAAGCGTGGAGACTGTTGAGTTTTTCTAGGGGCCATGTGGGAAATGCATAAGACGACTGTGAGGTTGAGGAAATTAGGTGGCGTACCACAATAATTCCTTTTGTGCCTGCATTTTCTTACAGGCCCAGATGCCCTAGGCAGCCATTTGTGCTTTTTGCTTCTTCTTATTCTTTTGTGATTCTCAAAGAGTTAGCTGTTTGCTCGAGATGGTACAGTGTAGGAATGTACTGTCGACTTTCAACAAGTTCTAGGACAGGACTTGCACTTGGTTTGGGAGTGCAGGAGGGCTTGGGAAGATCACATAGCTAGCTTTGCTGAATGCTTCCTACCTGATAATGCTAATTATTTGGCCTGGGAAAATAAGCAAAGTATCACCACGCTAATTATTGGATCCGGGAAGACATGCAATGTATCAACGATCTTGTTAGGTTCTCAGAATAACAGGTGTGATTACTGTAGATCCAACAGTATATTAGTGCCGGAGACATTCCTAACATTGGAACCTTGGCGTAGACCGAAGCTGCAGAAGGTGCTACACACTGGCCACTGGGGTCCGTCCGCTGTCCTTCTTCAGGGGGTTCCCGGCAGCAGAAGGGATGTAAGCATTGCATTTTATTCTGAGGGTTGCTTAGGCTTAATACGTATTATATTGTATTCTAAGATTTGCTTCATTGTATTTTACTCTAATATTAAGCATTGTATTTTACCTTAATATTTGCTTAGTAAAATCTTTACGCCTTCACCAAATTTGTGTGCTTATTGCCTCCAAATCCCTTAAGGGAAGAACCATTGCCTCTTGGCAATACACCATGGCTGCGTCTAGACTGGCAAGTTTTTCCGCAAAAGCACCTCTCTTGGCCTGCATCCCGCAGGTTGGATTTACAACTACAAGGTTGACAGCTGCTTTTGCGGAAAAACTTGCCAGCTGTCTACACTGGCCGCTTGAGTTTCCGCAAGAACACTGACGATCTCATGTAAGAAATCAGTGCTTCTTGCGGAAATACTAGGCTGCTCCTGTTCGGGCAAAAGTCCTTTTGCACAAAGCTTTTGCGCAAAAGGGCCAGTGTAGACAGCTCAGATTTGTTTTGCGCAAAAAAGCCCCGATCGTGAAAAATGGTGATCGGGGCTTTTTTGCGCAAAAGCATGTCTAGATTGGCATGGACACTTTTCTGCAAAAAGTGCTTTTCCAGAAAAGCATCCGTGCCAATCTAGACGCTCTTTTCCGCAAATGCTTTTAACGGAAGCTTTTCCGTTAAAAGCTTTTGCGGAAAATCATGTCAGTCTAGACGCAGCCCATGTGAATGCAAGATGGAGCCCCCTGTTCTTGTGTACCTCGGACAGGTTTGTACAGACGAGGTTTGTAGACGAGTTTTCACTGTAGAAGTTCATTGCAGCCTTATTTACTGTATATAAGCCCAGGGTGTAATGTTACCAGGGCACCATCCACGACAAAAGTTCTACGATTAAGATAAAAAGTTCCTTCTCGGAGGTCTCAGTCAGGCAGAGCAGTCTGGGGATCCATTATTCTTCTCTCCATTTAAGGCACGAGCCAACAATCACTTCCACCACCTGGCACTTGCCAGGGACTTTAACAGGTGTTGGGTCAAACCCTTTAAGAGTATTCTAGAAGAACAGTTCCCAAACTGTGGTCCACACGCTCCCGGGGGCAAGGAGGAGAAATTATGTAATGGTGGATTTTATGTATTATTATTACATCACATTTTCATAATAGGCTACTCATACAAAGCTTTAATGCTCCTGGGGAAAATCTGACACATAAAATACAGTCATTAATTTCCTTCACAGATGTACCAATGAGTCACATAAAAATACTGACATACGGAGCCCTCACCTCCAATCACCGTATGGCGTTGGTTCAGTTACCCAGCAACTGTTCAACATAAGTGAGCTCAGAAGTTAGTGAGGGTAGGGGTTTTGGTGCTATATGTCACACCAAATCTGTATGTAACAGTGAAATATGGACAAATGGCTAAAGACAGACAGCGTTAAGAAGAACACACCAAGTATCAGTGATAAGGAGGATTGGGCGATGTAGTAAGAAAACGTTTAGAAACTTGTGCTCTAGGGGGTTGGCGCCTCCCACCTGCTCCTAGCAAGAGAACACCAACATACCCCTTGCCAGCCATTATCAATCTCAGCTGCTACCATTCACCTGCCTCCCAGGACACACAGCACGGCAGCTGACTTTCTGCTTTGGTGCTGGGTAGACTAACACAACAGACAAATAATGTAGACTCAAGATGCTCCTTACTATTGGTCCAGGAGGTCCATCGTGCCCTCTGCTACCGGGTAAGCCACCAACACCCTGCAGAGAACAGCAAAAGATCAAGAGACGCATGCTGAGAGTTGAGGGGGAAGTGCTACTGGTGGGGAAGAAAGCAGAAGTGGACACACAGAGGTCCACCACTGCAGCCTGCCATGGGACCAGTGCTGGTGCTCCTGACAAGCTATTTGTACCCACAGCCGCATGCTTCCCTGGAGCAGCCTTCCGTAATAGCTGGCTCTTGAGTGTCTGTGGATTTCCTCATGGACTGGTCACGGATGAAATTTCTTTTAAAAAAAAACCAGCCTGAAACGGAGCAGCCCAGGGAAACTGAAACAGAACGTTTCCACCTTTGCAGCTCGGAACGTTTCCCTTTCAACCCCACCCGCATTTCAGTTTTCAAAAGTGTGCACATTACGTAAGGTCCACTGCAAAAAGTCCCATCCCGCGCAACAGGGTGTGATTTTACCCCAGTGAAAATGTTGGGATCAACCTGAAGCAAGTTGGGTTTGGAATTTCATTTTGTGGGAGATTTTAATTTTTTGTCTCTGCTTTTCCATTTTGAAAATCTGTGAACCAGCCAGCTCTAGCTGCTGGCTCCCTTGATCCCACCTCAGATCTGGGTTTGACAAGCCAGTGGCACCAAAAGTGCATTAGAAACAGCCAATGTTTCCAGCCTCTCCTCTCTTGCTCATCTTTGCACAGAGAGCAGGTGTGGACGGCACATTTCTTAGCCACAGAAATCCTTCTCCTATCTCCTGACAGCCAAAGGAAGAGAAGACACCAACGTGGCACAAGGCTGGGGCAGATGCACCCGTTACAATGCACTTCAAGGGCCTTTCTCAGGCTGCAGCTTGACCTCAGTGGTTTTGTGGTGCGTGAGAGCAGCTCACAGGATTCGCGAGACCTGGGCAGGGTCAGAAGGGGAGATGGGTCAGGAGAGGGAAGGTGGCACCTGAGGCGGAAGGATGCAGTTGTGTCTCAGCCCTAAGAGTGAGGCATGTGATGTGTCATCTCGCAAGCATGCCAGGTTAAATCTGGTACCATTGAATTGGGTCACTGTTAGTTGATAATCGAACATGGAAAAATCAGTGCTGGAAGCTAAGACGACCCTCACTGCAAGTTTGCTTGCAGTACACAGGACTGGATTATCCATTAGGCACAACAGACACAGAGCCTAGGGCCTACAAAAACATTTAGGGCCTACAAAAAATTCATAATGGACTTGAAAATAAGAAAAGAAAATGGCCAAATCAAAATTAATAGGTCACTATTGTTTGGGGGAGAGATAGCTCAGTGGTTTGAGCATTGGCCTGCTAAACCCAGGGTTGTAAGTTCAATTCTTGCAGCGGCCATTTGGGGCAAAAATTTGTCAGGGATGGTACTTGGCCCTGCTGTGAAGGCAGGGGACTGGACTCAATGACCTTTCAAGATCCCTTCTAGTTCTAGGAGATAGGCAATCTCATTTAATTTAATTTTATCTTTAGCCAGCAACCAACATTCAGCTATAACATGCAATTAAATATTAGGCATATAGGCGATAGAGCATTTCTCCCTTACATATTTATATATAATCTAATTTAAAGGCCTATGATTATGAGAGAGCCTAGGGCCTACGAAGACCTTAATCCAGGCCTGGCAGTATGACTATGTGAAATCACCATTAACAAGGTGTTGCAGGGCATTAAGTGACAAACCCCTATCTGTAACCAAAACTCTGGGTCTGAATTCAGAGCAGGATCCTCTCGACACTCAGAGAGCACACCCAGGAGGGCCAGGCTGACTAGTTAGCTCAGCTAAAGCCAGGCTTGATCATCTCTCAAGGAGTCACCATCATTAGGGAACTAGTCTAGGGCCTGACAGCTTCATTCTTAGCTCTGGCACAGATTTCTGGGGTGACCGTGGGCAAGTCACTTAATCTCTCGGTGCCTGAGTTTCCCTTTTGTACAACAGTAATAATAGACCTGCCCTGCCACACAGGAGCGAGTGAGGATCAAACCATGAAAGACTGTGTTGTGCTTTGAGATCTACTGATGAAAAGCTATATACATGAGTTATATATTAGCATCACGTCGATGTGGCTCAAAGGACTGGAAGAATTTAAAACAAACATACAAGGAATTCTACTCACAGCTGGTCCCTTTCTGCCAGGGCTCCCCCGGGTACCCGATACACCCTGCAGGATAAGTCAGACAAATGATAAGGACCCAGAGAGATCACAAACCTCCCCCCAGTTCCCACCCAGTACTGTGTTCTATGAACACGGGTTTGCACACGAGCTCACCCTTCTCTGCAAGGGAAGTGCACTAGGCACACATGCTGGAATTGAGTGGAAACTTGAGGACTAATTCCTATGAAAGGTTAGACCTAGCTCTCAACAAATGTCAGTTTCCCACAAACCACCATGCGGTTTGGCTCTATGCAGCATCTGTGCACGGAGGGCTGGGGACTGGGCCAACAGGGCCCTGGCTGCTGTGGGCGCTGGGTGAAGGTCACTGGCAGAGCTGTTTCTGGACATAGAACAAGAACACGCCAGTGCGAGTGGAGGAGGTGGAGTGAGTTGCAGGAGACAGGAGAAATGAATTGGCAGAGAGGGGTTGGGGAGTGAATTGGAACACCGGAGCAGAGTTGGAGGCTCCTGGGAAGGAAGGAAGGAAGGATATGAACTATGCCAGCCCCAAGCTGGTGCTGTCAAATCCTCACTACTATGCAGAGATGGGCCTAGACCAGAAAGTGTGGCTCCAGATCTGAAAATCCCAGGCCTGGTTCCGACGTACCTCCCTGCTTTTTGGGGTCTGCTAAGAGACTTACCAAATTTTCCAGAGACAGACCAACTGAAGCCAACGAATACCAGATTTAACACGACATGCAGTAACACAGCAACTTTCACCTGCTGCGCTGGCCCATGTAGCTGGCATGGCTATCTATCTATCTATCTATCTATCTATCTATCTATCTATCTATCTATCTATCTATCTATCTATCTATCTATCTATCTATCTTTTAGAGATTTGTGCATCTGTCTGTCTGAGACCGTTTGTTCAAGAACTTCTTCTAAATAAAAGACAGGACTATGCCGCACTGTCTTTTGTTTCAGCAAGACCAGACTAACATGGCTACATCTCTATTATCCTTCTAAATAGTAAGAGCTAGGACCATCAAACGTGCTATGCAGCTTCCTCTTCTCCTAACTTAAAGCAAGCTCAGAGGTTTGTTGTGCCTGGAATTCAATTGTTTCATTTTGCCAGAAAAATGGCATGTGCCTGGAATACGATTGTTTTCCATAACATGGAGAGGGAGAGGGCTGCTCGGAGTGGCCACGGGGGGCAGCAAGTATGGGGGACAGCTATACTACAAAGAGATCACAAGGGGGCAGCTGCACAAGGAACAGAGTGGCCAGCTGGGGCTGGCGCTTGCCACCATGCCAGGCCGAGGGTGCTGCCGGGGCCGGGCAGCACAGCCCCCCCTCCCTTCCCAGAGAAGCCACAGCCTGCTCCCCACAGCACTGCCAGGTCACCCAGTACACTCACCATCCCTCTCCGTTCCCCGGCCTGGGGAGTGCCCGCGGGATCGGCCTGCATGTTTCCCCGACCCCGGACACCCCTGCACCGGTCTGGCCTCTGCGGAGAAGCCAGCAGGCAGGGTGCATAGCTCACTTCCACCCCAGGGACAAACTAGAGGGTGTAGTATGTGCCCTCCCCCCCCCGTGCCCAGCAGCCACAGGGAGAAACTGGCAGGCAGGGTGCATGGTCTCCACATTTGACAAGCCGACAGCCACCCCCATCCTCTGCTCTAAGCCCCCCATTTCCTCCCCAACTCCTGCCCTCCCATCCTCTGCCCTGAGCCCCTCCTCATTCTCCCCCCTGACTCCCCCCCTCACATCCCCAGCCCCCTGCCCAAGGCCCTGCTCTGACTCCTGCACCCCACACTGCCAGCCCCCTTCCCTGAAGGGCCTGGGCAATGCCAGGTAAGTCTTCTAGATACAAGACAATGAAGAATATTTAAGTATATAGTATAGAATGGGAACCTGTGTACCAGGCTTTCCTTCTGGGCCTGCTATTCCAGGAACGCCTCGTAAGCCCTGAAAAGGAGAGTTCTGTCTTAGAGGAGCCTGTGAATTCAAACAGGTGCTTGGACTGTAAGTGCCGAAGATACAAGACGCAAAGACGCTTTTACAGGATACAGGTGGGGCAACCATGGAAGCAAAGTAAATACAAATATTTTTATAGGAGCAATTTAAACAAAAGGGAATAGGAGACTCTTACGCGCGTGCAGTTGTTTGCTATGGGAGTGCTAAAGTCTGCCTACAGGGAAAAGAGTGATTAATGCAATCACATCTGTCCCCACTGTTCTCTCGTCTTCTGCTCCCCTCCTGCTGCCTGTCTCTTTATTCACCAGCTATGTGCCATCGAAATCCGAGACCGGGCCCTCTCTGGAACAGGGGGTGTTTCCTGTTGTTGGTTTGCACAGTGCTTAGTCCGACATTGTCCTCCTCTCTGTTGGAGCTCCCTGGATGCCCTCTTCGTGCAAGAGAAATAAACTAAATGTGCAAACTGGCTGGAATCCTTCTGGAGAAACGTCCGTGCTTATAACTGCACTGCGTTCATTAACAAGCATTGCGTCTCCTGCCTATCCCTTACTCACCACCCTGGGCAAACAACTGCTCATAGCCCCAACCCGCCTCCGCGGGCCAACGTTCTAACCAAAAAAAATAAAACCGAGCAGCCGGTAAAAACCTATTTTTACTGCTACAGACAAAAATGCCCAGTTCCTTAAGTCTATTTTTCTGCCCTACCATCTTTTGCCCACAACTGCTCATTGTAGCTTGTTTGTCAAATGTAAGCCTGTGCAGCAACAGGTCCTCTGAAGGCTATTTAAACAAGAGTCTTATGTCCTACATTCCTTGCCAGCAGGTAAAAAGTTGTGTTTCTGGCGGGGTTTGGAATATTTTTATTGTAACAAGGGAATCCTGAATCTGCCGCCCACTGACATTACTGCCGGCTTCTCCGGGGGCAGAATACGACCCACGTTTTCAAGCCTGGCTCATGCCAAAGCTCTGCTATGGAAACCACTGATTGCAGACAGCCCAGTCCAAAGAGTGCGGCCGAGGTTCGCAAGCACTGTTAACTCAAACTATCTCAGCCTTAATCGGGGAGCTGCAGGGAAGAAAGGGTTACGTTTTCAATAAACCCTCAGTCGGCACATGTGCAACTGCAGCACCAGCAGCGAAAGGTGCAATTAAGATGCCTAATTAGGTTGAGAAAGAAGCAATCGTGCCCTTGAGGAGCAAGCCAGACTCGCATGCCTGCTGCCTGTTTGTTTCCATGCTGTCAGGCAGGCGTGCCATAGCTGCTATGCTTTGAAGCGCACGCCCACTTACACGCACAAGGCCTGTGCCCTGATGTGGTGCTGTCAGATTGGAATAATGCCCTCCGCTGGGAGACAATTACACTTGTATCTGCCAACCAGGCATCCCAGTTTTGCTTTCTGCTTTCCAGCCTGAACCATGCTACTGTGGCAACCAGTCCCGATCTCTTCTCCGCAACACATTTCCCACGAGTTAGAGGAGTGGTTCCCAAACTTATCGGCATCACGCCCCTTTCTGATTTTTGAGAAACCCTCATGCCCCCCCCCTCCCCAATAGCAGCAAAACTCTGAGGAAAAAAAAAAAAGGAACTGACTGGGGGTGTGTGGACGGGATTGATGGGGAGGGGGGGTTGGGTTGCCTCGCACCCCCCCTGGAATTTCTTCACGCCCCCCCAGTTTGGGAACTCATGAGTTTGAGACGTAGTATGGGTGTAGGGCTACTTACTGGGAGTCCTGGGATTCCAACCAACCCGCGCTGGCCTGGGCGGCCCTGTAAAGAAACAAATATGACTAGGGAGGACTTGGCTGCCACTACACAACACAAATTCACAGGCCTCCATGGGCAAGTTTGGCACCAGGAATGAGCTTTGCCAAGAGTAAAAGTGACAGGGCCTTTACAGAGGTAGACTTGGTTTTGCGTCAGTTATGGCTCCAACTTTATCTAAACTCCCCGCTGGCTTGGTATTCCCCCCTTACTAGCCCAGAGGAGTTTATTCAGCCCTTTCAAGCGCGGGGAGTTGGCACGGTTATTTGCCACGGCTCCCCACGTCGCTGCCATCTCCACGGTAGATCTCTGCATAGGGCCCTAGGTGGCTCTGTGCCTGCCAGTCATTCAGAAGCGATTCAGGAAAGCCACTTACTTGAGTCCCGCTCACGTCAAGGAGACTGAGGTTTATGCTTAAAGTTAGAACGTGCTTAGGAGCGGTCTGACCTGGAACGCTAGTAAGGCCAAGGCGCCGCTCTCCGGCGCAGCTTCCCATGCAGAGGGCGCTTTAGGCCAGTGGGTGGCAAACCGCTTTTTCTCATGACCCAGCTGAAGAAAACTGTTGATGCTGCGACCCAACAGAATTTAGCGACAGTGTGGGCTGCGGGGTGGGGCTGAGGATGGAGCTTTGGGATGTAGGAGGCGACGCCGGCTTTGGGGAGGCAGGGCTGGGGCAGGAGGGGTTTACCTTTGAACAGCTCCCAGGCAGCGGTGCAGCGGGGGGGGCTCAGGCAGCTTCCTGCCTCTCCTGGCACCGCAGACCAGGCTGCCCCCAGAAGCAGCTGGCAGAGGGTTCCCAGCCCATGGAAGTGTGGAGCTAGTGCTCGGGGCAGGGGCAGTGCACAGAGCCCTGTGTGCTCCCCCCCACCAAGGAGCCAGGCCTGCTACCGGCCGAGACCCCACACCCGACATTCCACCCCCCAGTACTGGGTCGCAACCAGTAGTTTGAAAACCGCTGCTGTACGCCCATGTACACAAGCCACGCTGCTCACAAACAGCTCCAAAAAATGGCTTTAAGACATTGGGTCTGAGCCCTGTAACAGTTCCGCCGTTCGCCTCCCAGCAACAAAACGCTCCGAGAGTTACCCTGTGTCCTCTCGGCCCTGGCCTTCCCTTCGAGCCATCTGGTCCTCGGCTGCCCTAAAATGCACAGAGGAACATCATTTCAGGCACGGCTGCTTCACTCCCCCCTCTCCCCGCCGTCCCCACCTCTCTCAGCAGTACACAGCTAGGCATGAGTCTGTACAGTTTTAGGGGCTTCGGCCAAAGCCCATTGGGCTCACCGGACCCAAGAGCTCGGGTCTGGCTGGAGATGCCGGTTTTGAGGTGGATTTTCCTAGTGGAAGGATGCTGAAACGGGAGCGACGCGCGTAACGCTTCTGGGAGCGGCTGGTGTTTACGTGAAAAGCCACGTCAGTCCCCGGCTGTGGCCACGGAGACACTGGGCTTCGCAAGCACCATTAGGAGCAGGGGGAGGCAGCCCTGACTTTTTGTATGTGCACCCTACGTTCGGAACCCCCCACGCTGGCCGGATGCAGAGTCCCAGAGAGCCCGGGGGCAGGGGGTGAAGTGAGAACTCCCAGTTCCCTGGCCTTCTCCTGAAGTGCTGCCTCCGCAGAGCCGCAGAAACCTGAGGAGAGCAGCGGACACATGCTGGAGGAAGCCCCGCTGCAGAGGCGCCAAACCCTCGCCTTGCCCCACCCCTTCCTGTTCCGAAACCCTGCCTGGAGGTTCAGTCGGGTTGCCAGGCTGGGGGGCTGTTCCGCGGGGGTCCTATCCCTTGGATGTCTGCGGAGCACAGGAATCCCTGTCATGCCCATGCCCACCTATCAGCAAGAGCAGACGTGTGCGTGGGGTGGGCAGGCAGGAGTGGAAAGTAGTTGTCAAGACACCTCCCTCCCACCCCTGGTGCGTTTCCTTCAGTAGCTCTGCCTCCACTGAGGAAAGACGGCTTTTCCCTTTCTAAGCACTGCACCGTATGGAGGCCACAGTCGGTCTCCCAGCTTGAAACGGGTCAAGCAGACTCCCCGGCGGGCTGCGGCTGTCACTGAAATCAGCACAGACTGTTAGAAAGGGAGCCCAAAATGCCATCTCAAGCTCTCTGAGCAGAGCGCAGCGGCAGCTCTTGACAGTGGAGGATCCAAGCACAGCAGGGAGATGATGGGGGGTTTGGAGTAGGTGCTTGTGGGAACAAATCATCAACTCTTTGTGCTCACGACCCAAAGCTAAACAGGGGCTCTAAGGGACTCAAAGCCAGTGGAAACAAATCCCGGGGCTACACGTTCACACAAATACACACATTTTGACACCCCTACTCTCCACGGAGCTAGGGCGGGCAGTATGGGTGTTGCTTGTACTCGCACATTTTGGGCCATCTCTCCACAATGAGGTGACTTATGCTTATATGGCGCTGTCAGCTTAAAACGCGTGTAAAAAGAAAACAGATGTTCCGTGTTACAAATAACCTAATCAGTTATGGAACTGCCCTACCTTCCAGCATCATGCACACAAAGAAATGGCACAGCTCAGCTGTGAGTTCACTTATCCATGCCTCAGTTTCCCCAGCTCAGGTGGGCCGACACATTTGGGGTGTCTGTGGGGGGTGGGGTGGGGGGGGCGTGGCTTTGCTCTCCCGCAAGAGGCAGGGCCTTGGCAACCGGCTCTCAGCACCTTTCCCCTCCTCAGCACCGCCCAGGTTTCAGCAGTGTGACACGCAGGGCTCCGGTGGCAATTTAAAGGGCCTGGAAGGGAGGGTGAAGTAGCAGCAATAGCCAGGAGCCCCAGGGCTCTTTGAATTGCTGGGCCCAGCGGCACCTGCCCCCTTTGCTCCCCCCTCCATTGGGGGGCCTGCCCCAACTGGAAAACGGGGATGGCACCTCAGCTTCGTAGAGGACAGGATCCTGAAAGGAGCCTGTTGTAATTAGGGGCCCAAGTCCTGTTGAAATCCAGTGGCTTGGATTTGCAAGTGGGTCTACACCTACACAGAAAAATACCTCCCGCAAGGAGTCTCAGAGCCCAGGTCGCCTGATTGGGGTACCTGGCGCTCACACTGTGAGGTGAACAGCAGCAGTGCGGACGTCAGGGATGGGGGCTGGAGCCTGGACTCTGAAACCTGCAAGGTAGGGGTGTGTGGGTGGGAGGGCAGGTCTCCAAACGCTTGTTAGCCCCGCAGCACGAGCCTGAGTCAGCCGGGGCTCTGATAGTCACTGCTGCGGGGCTGGGTTTTGTGGTATAGACACACCCTAGAGCCCCTTGAAGAGGGTTAGACACAGGACTCACAGTGAAGAGACGGAAGAAATAACAGCAGCACTGACCTTTGGCCCTTCACTGCTGTTCTGACCGGGTGGGCCGATCTGTCCTTCCTCCCCCTATAAGAGCCAAGAAGCAGAATTAAGACACGTTCGAGACAAGATTTGGAAAATCATTTCTGCAAGGAGTCAGATACAGCCTGCTGCCCCCAAGGCTGTCTTGGAATTGGAGGCTGTTGGACCCGGCTCCTGCTGATCTTGGGAAATGCTGCTCACGTCTACACGCTGATGCTCCTGACACCGCCCTCCAGGGGGAGTTACCGACATAAGGTACAAAGAGAGAGAAGCAGTATGCCTGCCCCTGAGTCTTCAGCCGGAGAAGGGATGTGTCAGTGCCCCCCTCCAGCAGAGGAGAGAGAAGAAACAAAAACCAGGACTATGTATCGAGACAGTCATGCCTAGGACATCAATCAAGGATCCGGGGGCAGGGCACTGAACAGCCAGGCTGGAAAAAGAGAGAGTCTGCATGTCCTCCAGGAATCAGAGAGAGAAACAGCCCTCCCGAGCAGTCCAGCTCTGTCCCCTGCCAAGCACGGCACAGGGAGCCAACCCAGCAGTGTTTCTTTTCGTAGGAAACGAAAGCAGACTAGGGCCAACAAGAGGGCTACCGAACTGGTTCCGTTTCCAGAGGATGAAGAGGATTTTTAAGGGGTCAGTTTTCTGATGTCTCAGACTCCCAATGCCCCGGGCTCTGCCATGGGCTTGTCACAGTAAAATGCAGGCAGCCCCTTTCTGCAAGCAGCTCCTATTCTGAGACGGGGCGTGCCGCATACTAAGCTGGAAAGGCACTGTGCAGCAGTGGCAGGATTTCTGCTGAGTGATCCTTCTCTCCAAGCGCATCCAGTCTGAGCAGTGAATACCTAAGCAGGGCTCGTGGGAGGCCAAACTCCTGCAGCTCGATGACACAGCGTTTTTCACAGCCAGCACGGCCTTTTACTCCTGGGGCAGCCAGCGGGGAAACACCCCGCTCCCCTCTCTCCACTTGCTTGTGGTTTTGAACATTGAAAGACAAAGATCAGCGAGGATCTAATTCGATGTTAAAATATTCCACTTCCTGCTGGCACCTGCCCAGCCCTAAGGCTCGGCATAGAAATCCGCATTGCACGGGAAAGCGCTTTTACAATCAGCGTCCTTCTCCTGGCACTTCGAGATTTGACCCTCTTGGGGTCACAAAGCAAACCCATCTGGTAACTGACCAGAGACAGGTGGCTGAGCTGGAGAAGCCCTGCTTAGAGCAGTTCCTACCTTCTCACATGAGAACCAAACTGCAACTGCAGCATCTTTGTTTTCAGTGACGGAAGAGGCAGAGAGAATTCAGCTTCATTCTGATCTCTGCGTCAGTGGGAAGGGCTGGCCGCTAGAAAGAACCACCTGCGAACTGCACAGTCTCAGAACACCCGTAAGCTGGTAAACAGGCCTCATTTGGAGACGCAATGGGAGAGAAACCCGCAGGAATATTATTCAAGGCAAATGGACTGCAACACCACATTGGAAATCCATCAAGCTCCTGCCTTTGGCCAGTTTTGCACTAAGCTGCATTGGCATTGGACCTCTCAATTGTCTAATTTACATCATCTACAGAGACAGCGATGGGCAAATTCCCAGGCAACTGGGATCAAATCTCTGCTAGTGTAAACTGGCCCAGCTCCACTGCCTTCATTGAAACCCACACAGCTGTGCCAATTTACACCTGCTGAGAATCTGACCCTTAATTTCTATCAGGTCCATTATCGGAGACTGAATCCATGCTGCCAATGGATTAAGTACCTCTTTGCAGGGCATCTCTGTTTTGTGTGTTTACCCCTTAGTTTCTCATTTTTTTAAGTTTCTCCCCAGAAAGATGTAACCTGATTAGAGAAAAATAACAGGATACACATTCAACTTCTATTGACGTATTCACCATGCTAGTGAGAAAGACAGATAATAAACCTGAGCCAGCCCACCCATTTTTCATCCAGGCTCATCCATTGGGTGCAGGGGATGGAGAACAGGCCTGGGGCACTGGGGCTGACTTTGCTGTGCCTGGCGCTCTGGCCAGGGAGCCGGGGTGGGGCTGTTTCCGCTCTGTCAGCATTCTAACACCTGGCACTCTGGCCAGGGGGTGGTTATTGCCCACCCACCCAAAGTTGCTGCCCACCCAAGTGGGCCCTTCTGGCTGCACCCCTGCCGTCTCAGGATTTCTTCTCAGTTGGTAGGAAGCTTAAAGCAGACGAGATTTATCACTAGAAAGTTCTTTATGAGTGACATTTGCAATAGCCAGACAATAAGAAAACGACAATACACAGAGTTGCTAAAGCACATGGCGAAGCACCATTAGAGGGAGCCCTTGCATCACGTTCTCCTCAAGATGCCAACTTAAGAGGTCCACCGTGGGTCCACTGGAGAGATGCCATGGACTGAAATGTAGCGCATGGGAATATTTACACCGACGGTCTCCGGAAGGCAGGGTGGACGGCAAGGGTTTCATCCAGGGGGAGAGAGAGGCGAGGTGGAAGATTCCCAGCAAGCAAGGAGACGGTGGGATGAGACAGGAAGTGGGGGAAATGGGGAAAGCTCAAGTGTTTGGATCCAAGGCACGGCAGTGACTCCAGTCTGGGTCCTTTCCGCTGCGAGGCAGAAGCGTGTTCAGCAACCCGCTTTCACCAAGCCAGGACGATGGCTCAGCACACCCCTAACCGCCGAGAGAGCTAGGATGGGATTCCTCAATCCACCCCTGACTCTAGAGCAATTCTCCTGTGGCCACTTGGGAATCTGACTGATTCATTTTAGTGTGGAATCAGCTCTGCTCCGTGCCTCTCTAGAATTCACACCGGCACCACGATTGCTGATTTCCCTGGGTAAAAACGCGCTGACTCTGAAATGCTATTTCAGTGCCGTACCTCAGAGCCCAGGTTTTGATAAAGAGCACCACCCCACTGTCCCCACGGCTAGGCCACTCCTGCATGGAGCTGCTGATAAATTACAGCCACAGAACACAAGGCCTAAAGTATTCAGTTTCCCCAGAAACTCAGTGCTAAAAGGGAAAACATAATATACAGTGGGTGCATAAATGGCTGGGTAACTGTTCTCAGAGAGCAATTATTAATGGTTCACAGTCATGCTGGAAGGGCATGTAACCTGATTAGAAAGGGGCTCCGCAGGGGGCTGTTTTGGGACCGGTTCTGTTTAATATCTTCATCAACAATTTAGATAATGGCATAGAAAGTACGCTTATTAAAATTGCAGATGATACTAAGCTGGGAGGGGTTGCAAGTGCTTTGGGGGATAGGATCATAATTCAAAATGATCTGGGCAAACTGGAGAAATGGTGTGAGGCAAACAGGATGAAGTTTAATAAGGACAAATGAAAAGTGCTCCACTTAGGAAGGAACAATCCATTTCACACATATAGATAGACTGGGAAGTGACAGTCTAGGAAGGATACTAGAAAGGGAACTAGGGGTCTCAGCGGACCACAAGCTAAATACAAGTGAATAGTGTGATGCTGCTGCTACTGCAAAAAAGCAAACACAATTCTGGGCTGCATTAACAGGAGTGTTGTGAGCAAGACTGGAGAAGTCATTCTTCTGCTCTATTCTGCACTGATTAGGCCTCAGCTGAAGTATTGTGTCCAGTTCTGGGCACCGCATTTCAAGAAAGATGTGGAGAAATTAGAGAGGGTCCAGAGAAGAGCAACAAAAATGATGAAAGGTCTAGAGAACATGAGCAAGGCTGAAGGACTTGGGCTTGTTTAGTTTGGAAAAGAGAAGACTGAGAGGGGACATGATAGCAGTTTTCAGGTATCTAAAAGGGTATCAACAGGGAGGAAGGAGGTGGGGAAATTGTTCTCCTTGGCCTCTGATGATAGGACAAGAAGCAATGGGCTTAAACTGCAGCAAGGGAGGTTTAGGTTGGACATTAGGAAAAACTTCCTGCCTGTCAGGGTGGTGAAACACTGGAATAAATTGCCTAGGGAGGTTGTGGAATCTCCATCACTGGAGATATTCAAGAGCAGATTAGAAAGACACCTGTCAGGGATGATCAGACGGTGCTTGGTCCTGCCATGAGGGCAGGGGACTGGACTTCTTGATCTCACAAGGTCCCTTCCAGTTCTAGTGTTCTATGATTCTATGGTAATATACTCATGGCTGAGCTACAGGGCGGGGAAAGGTAAATGGATGATCAGTGTAGGTATGTTAACCACTGAGCAAGTAGCCAGAGACTGCTCTCCCAGGTACAATTCAAGGTGGGGAGCGGGCAACACATCGAAGATATTTTCTTTTGCCTGTTGTGCTGCAGCCGCTTGATCACACAGTGTTTAACCAATGTCCGAAGAAGCAAAGAATCCTTACATCAGGTCCTTGGTGTCCAGCCGGCCCTCTGGGTCCAGGAAACCCCTGCACACCCATTTGACCTCGAACTCCTGGGGGCCCTTTCATTCCCTGCGGCCCACGTTCTCCCTGGAGACAATAAGACACAAACACATCATTGAGGGCTTGGCTGCTGCCCTTCCGCTGGCGCGAACCAAGATAAAAATGGAGGAGGCCTTTGTAGTAAGCAACTAGTGTGACTCTTAGCTCCTAATCCCTTAGGACAGTGAGTTTCTTGCTCCCCCTCTGGATAGTTGGTCTTAATTTTACCCAGGGATCCCTTAAATGTCACCGTGCTGCATTCCTGGCAGGAAGGAAGTGAGAAAGGAAACAGCCGTAGTTAGCCCTGAATGCCCTTTCTCGGATGTGGTCTCCCCTTCGGACCATACTGCAGTCCCGGTCACCAGAACATGCCTCTCATTATTCAGAGCATCCCTCGGTTTTTCACTCCTGGAAAGTCCCTTCTCACCCGGGAGCTGGCAAATTAAATAGGGCTCACCCAAATCCCAGGTTCAAATAGCCCTGCCCTTTGATTCTGAACCTGGCGGCCCAACCCTCATCTCTGATTCAAAGTCAACCCCACTGGACAACATCCTCCTCGAAAACACCCGTTTCCTCACCACTACCAGCGAGTCGAAGCCCAAAGAAAATATGGCTGCTCATTGCCAGCATTCTCTGCCTCAGAGCGTCCCAAGATTTGGGGCCGAGCGGGCCACACCCATCTGATATGTATATGGCTCCAGTTTCTGTGTTATCTTAGCTCCTCACATTGTTGAGTGTATTTATTCCCAGAGCACCCCTGGACAGCAGGGCCAGGCTGTTATTCCCAATGTGCAGCTAAGGAACTGAGGTACAGAGAGACTGAGTGACTTGCCCAAGATCACACAGGAAATCAATCTGTGGAGGAGCAGAGAACTTGACCTAGATCACTTTGAAAACGTCTTTTCAGATTACAAAGATCTGCCTACGGGTGCGGGGAACAGTGGCTGCACGTCCGCCCATTGAAGTTCTGCCACCAAAGTGAAAGTAGGGGCGGGGTGATCTCTCTCTTTCTGGTGGGGGCTCCTTTCTTTCTGGAAACTTCCAAGAGCAGTGGTTCTCAACCTATTTACTGTTGTGGGCTGCAGATGCAGCTCTCTGGGTGTGGGGTGGGCTGCATCCACACAACATATACACTACCTTATGGCCCTGATGGTGTCACAGGGGCTGCTGCTGTGTGCCGACTGGGCCACAAGCAGTCTGCAGACCGGGGGTTGAGACTCACTGGCAGAGAGGGGCTCAAAACATACGAGCTGGGCCAGTAACTGGGGCGAGGGGGAAGGTGAAAGGGGAGAATGAGGTGTGATTATTTTCATTTAAAAAGTGCTGATGTTTTCTCTCTTACTCGCACACACTTTGCCACAGTTCATGGGTAAATCATGGAAAGACCCTGGCCCAGTGTAGGCTGCTATGGATACACCTGAGCCAGGCCTGGAAACATGGCGAACAGGGTCAGTCGCAGGGAAATGTGTCTAGACATACTGACCTGCTACAAAAACAAATGGGGCTAGAAACACTTCAGTGATCTAGCGGAGACAGGCCCTTAGTTAAATAAGACCTGCAGCCACATGTCCCCTCTCCCCTCAAAACCTAATGTCCTAGCCTGCTGTCTCACCAGCCACCCTACTACATGAGAAGAGGTTCCCAGGGTCAGCATCTGGAAGGTATGAACTGGATAGCTGAAGCACCAAAGCTGGGTTCCCCCATGACTAGGGGCATGGAACAGCTTCCTTATGAGGAGAGATTCATGAGATGGGACCTTTCAGCTTGGAAGAGAGAGATGGCTGCGTGGGACAGAACAGGGCCTATAAAGTCGTGACTGGTGCAGAGAAAGTAAATAAGGGAGTGTTATTTACACGTTCTCATAGCACAAGAACTAGGAGTCATCAATTAACAGGCAGTGGGTTTAAAGCAAACACGAGGAAGTGTTTCTTCACAAAGCACACAGCCAGCCAGTGGAAGGCCAAGACTATAACAAGGCTCAAAAGGAGAGGGTCTGGGCCGAGGGTCTGGGCTAACTTAGCTTTCTCTGTCGTGTTGCCAGCTCCCATGATTTTATAAGTCTCACAATATTTGGTGCTTAAAGCCCCAGCTTCTGGAGTCAGGTGATTACATGAGACCCAGAGCTTCCATTGACTGTAATGCGGAAAGCAAGCATTTAACCCTCATCGCCGTGGGGAAAAGCTTATAAAGCTGAATCCTAAAGGCTCAGGAACTTGAAGTCAAATAAAAAGAACCCAACTTTAAACAAAAATCAATATTTTTGCTGATCTCCAGACCTTTGACTCATGAGTTTTGGTCACTTGGCACAGGCAATGCTACCTATAAGCATGTTAGAAAGGGCACCAGCATTTCAGCAGGTGACCATGCAACTAAATTCCTTGCATGGCGGGATCGTCTTTAGGCAAACCTCCCCCTAGCGAGGCTGCTGTCTACAAGGAGCAGAGACTCACCCCCTCAAGCAAGGTGCCAGGATGAAAATTCCTAGTGATGCTAATTGTTTATTCTGCAAGTGCCACAGAGTGCTGGTCCTATGGCCAAAACCAGGATGTGCTGGCCCCCAAGAATTCAATGAAACGATTAGTTCCACACAACCAGATCAAACATGCCCTGGGTTTATGGGACCACATTTCAACAGCAGGGAGGAACGGGGAAGCCACCCCAAGTGCCCTCTGATTGCCAGCCACGGGGTCCACTGTACCTTGTCTCCTTTGGTTCCCAGGTCCCCCTTCACTCCATCTGAGCCTTCGCCACCCTGCAAGAACAGCACACGGTAAGAGTGCAACAAGGAGGCCACGGCGAGCTGCTCTCCCCGGCTGAGGAACACTGTGGCCTGCCCTCAGCCCTGGCGAGGCAGCTTTCATGTTTTGAGCAAAAGTTTGTTCTCAATGGACCTTGCCACAGCTCGAAAGGGAAGTCCCCTTTGCACCCAGACCAAACAGCTGCAAGGCCCCCCGCTCGTGCTGGACACTCTGGTAACTTCAGACCTCCCAGCTAGTGCTAGCACGCCTGCAAAATGGGAGTGGGGGGAGGGGGTATCTTGAATGGTGGAGCGTATGGCAGGGAGTCAACTCTAGAGCTGCTCTGTTTTGGAGTTAATGCAAATACACTGGCTGCCTGGGTGAGAAGGAAGAACCATCTGCATTGCTATTAAGGAATAAAGTAACTTCCCTTCTGCTTTACCCGGGGATCCCCACTCTTCCTCCCCCCAACTCAAAACCCACTCTTCTGAATTTGGGATTTTGGCGCTTATGAAACACGACAGCCCATTGTCACTGGCTTGGGTGGGGCATGATATAGGCAGAGACCGGGCAATCTTCCACAGAGCACAGCACCGACATGCAGCAAGGCCTGCGTCGGCTGTTTCACGCACGGCGTACAAGCGGGGCCGATTGTCGCCAGACCGGGGGAGCTTTTGAGAGGGACGGCAGGAGCTAGGAGGAGGTGCTGAGTCTGCACTTCTGCAGGGAAGGAGCAGAAAGCGGAACTGCAAGTGACTGGCCAGTGCATTGACCCTCAGTGCTAGGCAGCCTACCCGGATTGGTGCCTGCTGAAAGATCACAAGGCCACACCCAAGAGCAGAAAACACATTGTCTTGTACCCTGTGGTGACTCTGACCAGAGACTCACTTGCTCCTGGCCCCTCTGCCTCTGGGGGGTCCAGCCACTGGCCCCACTGACCCACACTGTCAGCCCTGGGATCCCTGCTGTTGGGCCCAGGAGCTCCTCTGCAGGCCCCAGAGCCCTGGCCATCAGCCCCACGCCTGGGGCTCCACAGCCAGCCCCAGCTGTGACCCCAGTGTGGGGCAATGAGTGGCGTGGACAGGGTAAGGCCAGGGGACCAACTAACCACAGAGCCGTCTGTCCGCATAGCGGAAAACACAGGAAGATGAAACAGGAGAGCTCGGCTGAGTATGAAAGTTGCCTCCAATTCTTCTTCCCAACAATCACATCTAGCTTGCAGCGCGAGCGCTCATACAGGGGATCAAGCTGTGAGCAATTCCACAGTAAACCAAACGACTGGGCCTAGCGACTCTGAGGTAAACTGCATTATGCAGGCCAAGTGACTTACCCGCTCTCCTGGGAGTCCCCTTGAACCTGGCATTCCAATCGACCCCTGAAAGAGACACAGACATTCAATGGAAGAGGGACATTCAGGGAAAGAAAGGCACTGAAGGAAACTTTAAAAGACACAACAAGTCCACCCAGGCCTTCGAAACCTCCCAGGGTGAAAGGTACGTGCCACAAAACGTAGTGTCTGAACTTCATGTCCAATGGGAAACAGAAGCCTCACAGAAGCAGAAGGATGGTTTGATGACACCATGACAAGGTGTAAATGAGAGGCCTTCCCCCAGGCACCTCCTCATGGCCCCAGGACAGCCCTGCAAGTGGCCCCTTGCCTCAGTTTCCCTTTTGAGGCCCCAGTAATTCCATGGGAGATTATCTTCCAGAGCATCATAGTTTATGAACAAGACTTGGTGCAAAGATCCATCACCCAAAGGCCCTAGACAGTTCAGCTCATCCCCAGTGCACAAAACCCAGCTTTGTTCTCACTAGACCCTGTTGTCTTCCACCTGCAACACTTTGTGAGTCCTCTGTCCCTCTGCCAGGACAGGCAGCCCTGCCCTTCCTTCTGGGTGCAACCCACTTATCCCAGCCGGAACCCCCACAGCTTCTCCACTGGGAGCACCCCTTACTCCCCTTGGCCCTCTCGTGGCTCCAAGGCATCAGCATCAGCATGGAGACACCAGCAGGTAAGCCCTTTGGAGCACCCACTTCCTACCTCCCTCTCCAGCTCTCCGTCCAGCAATCCAGCTCAGAGCCAATGACATCTCCTGCTGCTGCTCCTGCCTTCAGCCCTCTCCTGCCCTGGCTCAGGGCGACAGCCAACAAACCCCTTTTGTTATGCCCCTGCCTAAAAACTTCTCCCCGGAGCCACCTTCTCTCTCTGGCAGCTCCCCTCTCTGGCCCTTCCCAACCACATGAGTCTGCTCAGACGCTCTAGGTCTCTCTCACAAGGCCTCTTCTAGACACTCCCCACCCCCTTAGGTGGCCCAAACGGAGCACCCGGACTCGAGGAGGAGCACTGAGCCCAGTTGCATTTCACAGCTAGTCACTCCGCAGGAAGGCGATCCAGAAACACAGGGATACAGTGTTAGCATAGGCATCCTTCCTTTCCCCTGGGCCATGCTCCCATGGCTCGTGTTAGCATAGGCAGCCTTCCTTTCCCCTGGGCCGTGCTCCCATGGCTCGTCAGAGCTGGATGCCTGCCAAGTGCCAGCTTTGATCCAGTGATACTGGCGAGAGGGAGAAACAGGAGGGAAGAGGCTGTCTGGACACCGCACCACACCTGGCCCAGAGGAGAAATGCCTGTCCCCTGTCACAGAGGGGGAACCGAGACACTGGGTATATTAGGTGACTCACCCAAGGGAGCTTGAAAATGACCTGGGACTGAACCCCCATTGGCTGAGTCCCACTCCAGCACCCTAACCACTAGACCATCTTTCTAACCTACCTCCTTGCTGCACAGAGACACAGCTTAGAAGCAGCTGGCTCCTTGCTTGTTAACCTCCAGAAGTGACCCCGGCCTTCTGGGCTTTACATGCCTCCAGGAGGGAATATTACAGTCAGGTTTGCTCTTTAGGATGCCGGTGTCAGACGCAAGGATGTGAAAGGTTAACTGGTTAACCGGTAAGCATCCCCCTAACTGGAGAGGCTTACCCGTTCCGGTTAACTGATGGGGGTGGAGCAGCTCCCTACCCGCCACAGGCAGGGGGCTGCTCCAGCCCCACAGGGCCCACTGTGGACAGGAACGCTCCAGCCCTGTCAGAGTAGCCCCTGTCCGTGGCCGTCCCAGGTGCATTGCAGGCAGGGGCTGTTCCAGCTGGGCTAGAGCAGCCCCTCCCTGCTGGGGTGGGGGTGGGGGGGTAAGGTGGCGCTCCAACCCACCCCTCTTTAACCAGTTAACTATCACATTTAACCAGTTAACCATTTAAATGAGTTTACATCCCTACTCAGAAGCAAAACCTTATGGAACTGCCCCCCCCCACACACACATGGAGACACAGCCCCAGTGTGGGCCACGAACACACAGTGAGCCTGCTACCAACCAGGGCTCTGGCGTGTGCACTGGTGAAAGGACTGTAAGTGTGTGTGTGGGGGGGGGGGGGGGGAGGGGGCAGAAGCAGCCTTAGAGCAAGTCAGCAGCGAGAGCTACTCTGGTGCCCAGCTCAGGGGGTGTAGAAAAGCCACGGAGAGCTGCCTGGAAGAATACATCAGAGTCGGGAAAGCGTCGACAATGACTTGGCCTTGGTCTTTCCATGAGGAGTTAAACTCCTCCCCAAACAGGGCCGACCAGGTTCAGACTCTGGGTTTCCTCAGTACTCTACCTAAGTCACGTGGGCTTGGCTTTGGCGAGTGTGGCTCTCAAATGCACACAGGCACCCCGTGTCCAAACCCCAGGACGTCCCTGGGGACTACGATGTTGCAGCAGTAAGGGAGAGGGCAGCGTCCTCACTCTCCAGTCTTATATCTGGCCCATCTCTCCACAGGGAAGAGGCCCAACCATGTGCAGATACATCCGGTGCACAAACACCCAGGGGGCGGGGGAGAAAGACAACTTTGCTTTGTCTGTCTATGAGTGGGCAGGGTTTCACACTGGATGTGGAGTTTGGTCGTTGGTAGCAGCCGGGCTTCAGAAAGAAATGGAGCGAAGGGAAAAATCCAGGAGGTTTCCCTCATTATTCTCTCCAAAGCAACACACCAGTTCAGGTTACAAACTGGAGCAATAGGACATAAGGAATTCACCATGTCCAACGCTCACCCACAGTGAGCTGCAGCACAGAAAGATACCTCCATGCAGACTTACCATGGGGCCTTCTTGACCACGCTCGCCTCTGAGGCCGGCAGGGCCGGCTGCTCCCTGAAATCAGAAATAATTCTATAAACACGGCTTCATGACAACACTGCCATGTTTTAATGAATTCATGCAGGCTGACAGTTATTAACAGGCAATGCACAAACCTGGAGAAATCCAAACTGACACACAGCATGAGGGAAACCAGTGGAGAGTGGGTAAAAGTAATCAAATCCCATTTCCAAGGGAGAAGAAATGGGGGGAGGAGGGATCATGTGTCACCCCAAAGGGAGATTTCTGCATCTGACATCAAAAGTTCAATGAATTTGGCACATTTCCCACTCCAGAGGCAAGGTGGTTCGATCCATTCTAGACTCCCAGATGCCAGATTCTTCACTCGGCATATACTGGGCACATGGCCACCAGCTATGGGAAAGGAGGTACCAAGGACCCTTTATGACCATGAATTGGCTATGAATGGCAGAAGAACCTTAGAGGCATTGATTTCAATGGAAGCAAACGAAAGACACTCTATGGCTACGTTTAGACTTGAGAGAAGATGGACACTATGGTGGTTGATCTGGCATTCGATTTAGCAGGTCTAGTAAAGACCTGCTAGATCAAATGCTGAGGGCACTCCTGACAATGCCAGAATTCCTACCCCTTGTGAAAAGCCAGGGAAGAAAACAGGAGCATTTCTCCCATTGACTCCCCGTTATAAGGACAGTGCTGAAGCTTGGCTTAAGGTATGTCGACTCCAGCTACGTTTTTTTACAGAGTTGAATTGCGTAGCTTAAGCCAACCTTCGGCTGTTGTGTAGATCTGGCCTCAGTTCACAAGGCAGCTTCTTTAACTGATCAGAGGATCTTCCAAGATTGACATCTAAACGCGCAACTCTGCATTTTATTAATTACCATTAATGCCTCTGCTTAGCCATTAGATTCTTTTCCATTAGGTTCTTCTAGCCCTGCAGTCATCCTCTAACCTTTATGGCAAGTTAATGACCCGTGATCAAGTCAGCAACAAATGTGGGAGGAGAATAGACAAAGAACAACTCACCCTCACCCTGCCCCAAAGGTTTCAAGGTTGTGCCAGATCGCTGTGTAAAGGACCAAATACCCCTCTAATGCTCTCTCTTTAAACCAGTGAGTTAGAACCTGCAGCTCATACAGTGGGACAAGAAATAGCTAAACATGGAATCACTACACAGATACCTGTCTGGGCAGGGGAGACTGGTGTGTGTGTGTGTGCGTGTGTGCGTGTGTGTGTGCGTGTGTGTGCGTGTGTGTGCGTGCGTGTGCGTGTGTGTGTTATGAGTTTTATATGTCTGCCCATCATTACAGGATCTGAATACTCTCCACTTCAAATTAATAACAGATGCAAAACTTCCTAGCGGACTTGAAAGAGTTTCTGGCCCTTCTCCCTTTTGGGGGTAGAATATTTGGTGGTTTTTGTCCTTCCTTTTTTCTCTAAATTTTTACAATTTCTCCCCCCCCACACACTTTTGGCAGTAGGAGTGTAGGGGTCAGACAAAAGCACTGAGTGGATCATTTTTATCATAGAAAGGTGTTTTCCACATGCTGGAGCTTGTGTTCTTCCACTTGGACAGGGAGAAGATAGTTCTGAAGTGGTGCTTCTGCCCAACAGTCAACACAGCAAAGACCAGGGGAATCCAGCTACCTCTTCTCCGTCAACGGGGCTGCACAGGAGCATTTTACAGCTGCAGCCCAGTCTCCGCACTCACTCCCAACCCCAGTGCAGTGGGTGGAAGTTTTTATCTTCAACAGCTTACTACAGTGATGGGCTCATCACAATACACGTCCGAACAATGCGCCAGATGCAATGGCAGCAAGACAGAAAAGAATATTTTTAGCATTCTCTCTATATATGGAGACAGATGGAGGGAAAGATTCTTACAGGGTCTCCTTTAGGCCCAGGGGATCCATCAGCCCCGAGCGGACCCTAGAGAGAAAAGGAAAGAAAAGAAGCTGTCAATATAAGCAAGAATAAAGACCCAATTCTTCAGCAGTAGGGGTTCAATGAAGTCAGAGCCAAACAGAAGCCTGACCAACCTCCTTCAGATCAGGGTGGGAGATGTCACAACAGGTCAAGAGAAGCAGTTGCTGTTACTTTCACTCCACTGTTCAAATGCCACATATCCCTGAACGCGGTGGTTTATGTTCACTAGCGACACAGGATCTCAGGGGATTTCATCTCACGAGTCCTGGGTCCTCTTACCCTCCCATTCTTACATAGTTTCCACTTAGGTCTCCTGCAAGGGATGAGGGGCTTGGCAAGGTGTAGAGCTGTCCTCTAAAGCTAAAGATGATCAGCAGTGTGGCACTGTTGCAAAAAAAGCAAACACTATTCTGGGATGTATTAACAGGAGCGTGGTGAGCAGACACGAGAAGCAGCCACTCTTCTGCTCTACTCTGCGCTGATTAGGCTGATTGTGTCCAGTTCTGGGCACCACATTTAAGGAAAGATGTGGACAAATCGGAGCGATTGAATGGTTTGAAAATAGGACTGGGAAAGAGAAGACTGAGAGGGGGCATAAGAACAGTTTTCAAGTACCTAAAAGATTGTTACAGGAGAGGGAGAAAAATTTTGCTTCCTTAATTTCTGATGATAGGACAAAAAGCAATGGGCTTCAATTGCAGCAAAGGAGGTTTAGTTTGGGCACTAGAAAAAACCCTTCCTGTCAGGGTGGTTAGACACTGGAATAAAATGCGCAAGGAGGTTGTGGAATCTCCATCCCTGGAGATATTTCAGAGCAGGTTAGACAAACATCTGTCAGGGATGGCCTAGATGGTGCTTGGTCCCACCGTGAGGACGGGGGACTGGGCTTGTTGAGTTCTGGAGGCTCCTTCCAGTTCTACGATTCTATAAGCAATGAGGCGCCCGGCCCTCTAGGTTATACGGCAGCAGACCCTAGAGACCCAGTCCAACAAAGCCCTGTTCTAGCGCACAGTGAGAGACAGTCTCAGCCCCCCTCAAGGCAGGATCAAGCTCTGTCTACACCATCCCTGACAGATGTCTATCTAACCTGTTCTTAAATATCTCCAGAGAGGGAGATTCCACCACCTCCCTTGGCAATTTATTCCAATATTTGACCACCCTGACAGTTAGGAATTTTTTCCTAATGTCCAATCTAAACCTCCCCTGCTGCACTTTAAGCCCATTACTCCTTGTCCTGTCCTCAGAAACCAAGAGGAACAAATTTTCTCCTTCCTCCTTGTGACACCCTTTTAGATATTTGAAAACCGCTATCATGTCCCCCCTTAATCTTCTTTTTTCCAAACTAAACAAGCCCAGTTCATGAAGCCTGGCTTCATAGGTCATGTTCTCTAAACCTTTAATCATTCTTGTTGCTCTTCTCTGTACCCTTTCCAATTTCTCCACATCTTTCTTGAAATGTGGCGCCCAGAACTGGACACAGTACTCCAGCTGAGGCCTAACTAGTGCAGAGTAGAGCGGCAGAATGACTTCACGAGTTTTGCTTACAACACACCTGTTGATACAACCTAGAATCATATTTGCTTTTTTTGCAACAGCATCACACTGTTGACTCATATTCAACTTGTGGTCCACTATGACCCCTAGATCCCTTTCTGCCATGCTCCTTCCTAGACAGTCGCTTCCCATCTTGTATGTATGGAACTGATTGTTCCTTCCTAAGTGGAGCACTTTGCATTTCTCTTTATTAAACCTCATCCTGTTTACCTCTGACCATTTCTCTAACTTGCTAAGGTCATTTTGAATTATGTCCCTATCCTCCAAAGAAGTTGCAACCCCACCCAGTTTGGTATCATCTGCAAACTTAATAAGCGTACTCTCTATCCCAATATCTACATCATTGATGAAGATATTGAACAGTATGGGTCCCAAAACAGACCCTTGAGGAACTCCACTTGTTATCCCTTTCCAGCAGGATTTAGAACCGTTAACAACAACTCTCTGACTACGGTTATCCAGCCAATTATGCACCCACCTTATCGTGGCCCTATCTAAGTTATATTTGCCTAGTTTATCAATAAGAATATCATGCGAGACCGTATCAAATGCCTTACTAAAGTCTAGGTATATGACATCCACCGCTTCTCCCTTATCCACAAGGCTCGTTATCTTATCAAAGAAAGCTATCAGATTAGTTTGGCATGACTTGTTCTTCACAAACCCATGCTGGCTATTCCCTATCACTTTATTACCTTCCAAGTGTTTGCATATGATTTCCTTAATTACCTGCTCCATTATCTTCCCTGGGACAGACGTTAAACTGACCGGTCTGTAGTTTCCTGGGTTGTTCTTATTCCCCTTTTTATAGATGGGCACAATATTTGCCCTTTTCCAGTCTTCTGGAATCTCCCCTGTCTGCCATGATTTTTCAAAGATCATAGCTAAAGGCTCAGATACCTCCTCTATCAGCTCCTTGAGTATCCTGGGATGCATTTCATCAGGACCTGGTGACTTGCTGACATCTAACTTTCCTAAGTGATTTTTAACTTGTTCTTTGTGTATCCTATCTTCTAAACTTACCCTCTCTCTGCTTGTATTCACTACGTTAGGCACACCTCCAGACTTCTCGGTGAAGACCGAAACAAAGAAGTCATTGAGCATCTCCGCCATTTCCAAGTTTCCTGTTACTGCTTCTCCCTCCTCACTAAGCAGTGGGCCTACCCTGTCCTTGGTCTTCCTCTTGCTTTTAATGTATTTATAAAAGGTCTTCTTGTTTCCCTTTATGCCTGTAGCTAGTTTGATCTCATTTTGTGCCTTTGCCTTTCTAATCTTGCCCCTGCATTCCTGTGTTGCTTGCCTATATTCATCCTTTGTTATTTGTCCTAGTTTCCATTTTTTATATGACTCCTTTTTTATTTTGAGATTGTGCAAGATCTCCTTGTTAAGCCAAGCTGGTCTTTTGCCATATTTTCTATCTTTCCTACACAGCGGAATTGTTTGCTTTTGGGCCCTTAACAACGTCCCTTTGAAATACTTCCAACTCTCCTCAGTTGTTTTTTCCCTTCAGTCTTGCTTCCCATGGGACCTTACCTACAAGTTCTCTGAGCTTCTCAAAATCTGCCTTCCTGAAATCCATTACCTCAATTGTGCTGGTCTCCCTTCTACCTTTCCTTAAGATCATGAACTCTATTATTTCTATATATGTAAACAGACAGAGCAGACGGGGTGGGCAAGGATGCAGAGTGGGAGAATGGTTTGCCCAGGTCAAACACAGGTCAATGGCGGTGCTGGAAACAGCACCTGGGTCTCCTGGCTCCCAGTTCCTGGCTCCCTGCCCTACCCACTAGGGAATGCGACTTCCTTTCCCTGAGCACTCTGTGCCTTCCCTGAGACAGGGCTAAATATGGCCTGGATGAGAGAAGCCACCATCTGCGAGGTGCAATGGAGGATTGCAGCAGTCCCTTTGCTTAGCAAGGACTTGAGCCAGGCCCCTCTTCTCCAAGTGCTGCATGGAGCCCCTGTGGCCTTGGAAATGCCTCATGTTCGGTACCAAGGAGATGATTGGCATCTGGGAGCAATTTACCTGTGATCCTCTCGGCCCCGGGGGCCCACGTCTCCCTTGCAAGCCTTGTGGTCCCTTCAGAAAACAGGAGGGGTGAAAGCAGCCTACAGTTAGGTCTGAATGAACTCGAGCGCATTGAAAAACCCAGAAAAGCCACCTTCAGGTACAGTCTGTGGGGTGTGCAGCATTCCTCAGTCACCAGCTGCCTCTTTCACGGAATGTGCGCAAGTATTTGCACCTTGTGCTGGGCGTGCAAAGCCTGAGAGGGGTTCGTTAGTCTTCAGGCCAATTAGACCACCCTCAACCTCTACCTCGGCTGACAGGAAGTGCCAGCTGAGCTGTCGCATCCGGTTCCAGCACAGGTGAAAGTAACTTAAAATTTCTTATAGGTACTGTTACCGTGCACATACACCCCTGGTGGGGGAGGAGCTCAGGGTAGAGGGTTTTTTTGGGGAGGAGATGGGGTTGCAATAAACACCACCTGTAAGAAATGTAAGTGTGTGGGGGGCTCAGGGCAGGGAGTTCAGGAGTCAGGGTTGGGGTGTGTGAGGAGGGGTCAGGGCAAGGTTCTGGCAGGGTGCTGGGGTGTGTGAGGATGAGAGAAGCCACCATCTGCGAGGTGGCTTATAAATTGCCAAGGGAGGTGGTGGAATCTCCCTCTCTGGAGATATTTAAGAACAGGTTAGATAGACATCTGTCAGGGATGGTGTAGACGGAGCTTGGTCCTGCCTTGAGGGCAGGGGGCTGGACTCGATGACCTCTCGAGGTCCCTTCCAGTCCAGGAGGGGCTCAGGGCAGGGTGCTGGGGTGTTTGAGGAGGGGCTCAGGGCAGGGTGCTGGGGTGTGTGTGGATGCAGGGAGCCCAAGGGGGCTATTCAGGGAGGGCAGGGGCTCCTTCTTGCCGGAGCGCCGCACCAGACTACTTTCACCTCCAGGTGCCAGGGACAGTCGGCTACTGGGAGCTCATTTCACAATGCTCCCCATAGCAACTGTTGCCACCACAAGCATGGGCAGTGGGCGGACATAGGGCTGGGGGAGGCACGCCTCAAGCCCCGCCCCTTTTATCCGAGGCCCCGCCCACCACGGGAGCCACGCCCACCGCAGGGGAAAGCCTCCAGCCCAGCCCCAGAGCATGGGGAAGGCAGGCAGCACGAAGCCCCAGCCTTCCCGGCCCCAGTGGCATGTGGCTGGCAGCCGTGCTGAAACTGTAGCTTTTATGGGGGCGGAGAGTGGGCAGGGCCATGGCTGGCAGTTTGGGAAGGCAGTGCCTTCCCCCGCCTCCTATATCCGCCACCTGTGACCCCAAAGCTAGCGTTCAAACGAGGGAGAAGGGTCGAGGACGTACCTTGGGGCCCCGGGGGCCTGGCAAGCCGGAAGGGCCCATTTCTCCCTATGAACAAAGCAAACGCAGGCACACTCACTACAGCAGCAGCCCGTGAAGAGAGGTGCCCCACGACAAGGCACGTGCCCCTTTCCCCAGTACTCCCTAGTACAGACTCACCTGAGAGCCATTGACTCCTTGCAAGCCGACCAGCCCCGGATGCCCCGGCTCGCCCTGGCACAACACAAAACAC